GCCAGACATTGCCTATGCAGTGCATGTTGTCAGTCAATTCATGCACTCACCAAAGACCCCTCATATGAGAGCAGTGGAAAGAATTCTCAGATACTTGAAGAYTTKCCCARGGAAAGGAATTCTATTCAGGAAAAACAACAGACTTGAAATTGAAGCCTACACTGATGCTGATTGGGCTGGGTCTGTTGGAGACAGAAAATCAACCTCAGATTACTGTACATTCTTGGGAGGAAACCTAGTCACATGGCGTAGCACACGGGGTTGCTGAACTCTTATGGCTCAGAACTCTCCTTAATGAGCTTGGTATCAAGACTGATGGTCCTCTCAAGCTGTATTGTGATAATAAAGCTGTTATCAACATTGCCAACAATCCCGTGCAGCATGACAGGACAAAACATATTGAATTGATCGACACTTTGTCAGAGAGAGAATTATTTCAGGAGAACTCTGTGTGCCTTATACTCCATTAGAGATGCAGATTGCAGATGTATTAACAAAAGGGCTAGCAACAACAAAGTTCAGGGACATACTTGGCAAGATAAACATGATTAATATCCATGCTTAGCTTGAGGGGGAGTGTTAGAATGTTAGAGTGATGTTCGGCTAATAAGAGTTCTTATTAGCCCATTCTTATTTTTAACTTATCTTGTAACTGGGCCTGTGTTAATGGGCCTAATCCTGTTTAATGATTTAAGTCATCTGGGTGTCCCATCACTAATCAGGGGCATCCCAGTAATTTCTTGTACCTTGTACTACATTCATCTATAAATAAAAGACTAGTCGACTGGCTAGTACAGTTCGATATTCTCTTCATTTCAGTGGTTCTCTTATCTTCTTTGCTACTTCGAGTATAGCTCCTCATATTACACATGTGACTAGGTTCCCTCCCACAAAGGTACAATACCCACTAGTGGACTTTCTATCATCAACTAATCCGGCCCAGTCAGCATCTGTATATACCTCAACCTTCAAATGCCCATGATTCTAGAATAGTAAACCAGCCCCCAAAAACTTCTTTAGGTACCTAAGGATTCTCTTAGTTACCTTTAAGTATGTGGTCTCAGGGGGCATGCATGAACTGACTAAGAACACCCATGGCATAAGCAATGTCTGGTCAGGTCATGGATAGGTACAAGAGCCTTCCCACAAATCTCTGGAACTGCCTTACATCTTTGATAATTTCACCACAACAATCACCTAGTTTGTGATTTAAATCAATGGGAGAGTAAGTTGGCTTCACCCCTAGTTTTCCTAAATCTTGTAATAGATCTAGGATGTATTTCCTTTGTGAAATGAAGATCCCCTTTTGTGAGCGAGCCATTTCAATTACAAGGAAATACTGCAAGGGGCCTAGATCCTTCACCTCAAATTGAATGGCTAGGAACTCCTTTGGATTCTAAATTTCAGCTTTCCAATCACCCATGATTACCAAGTCATCAACATACACTATTAGGGTTGTAATCTTTCCTTCTCTTCTCACAAATAATGCAGATGATCAATTTGGCACTGTTTGTGGCCTATTTGTTGCATAGCTAGATGAAACTTGTTGAACCAAGGTCTTGGTGATCGTTTGAGTCCATACAAGGACTTCTTTAACCTTCAGAGTGTCCAGCAACTCAAAACAAAGAGATCTTGGTCCAACAACCATTTAAAAATAGATGAAAATATTTTTTTGAAGAATCAAAAGGAAATTTCATTAAACTGAAAAAATGCAGTATATCTCAAACATAATGGTTGTCAAGTTGACAAACCAATTACATATCTGAAATTAAACCGAAAAGGAATCATTGTTAAAAGAAAATATCTTTCACTAGAGAATGGTTAGTGCATAAGAGAATCTTCTTGCTTCTTTCAACTATTGATATGAAACGAAAGAATGGAAGAGAAGAATAGAGAAAATAAATTGATCTATAGAAGTTTATGCTCTGATACCATCAAGGTTTAAAGTATCGACACACTTGATACTTACTGTGTAATCATTACAATACTGTTATTTTTTCTTTTACATTTTTTAATCTGTCACTTCAAAAGCTTGTACATTGGCATGACTACTGTCATTTAAACATGTTAACCAAAGTTCAATATTCAATGTACCGGTGACCCTGAAACCAGATATCATATGATACACACCGATATGCATACCCTGCAATACTTTGAACCTTGGATACCATGTTTCCTGCAAATAGATCTGTCATAACTCATAAGTAATAGTAGAATATACACAGATAGAAAAGAATGAATTTAGGAGAATCAATCATGAGTGTTGGCACCCACTCTCTTGTTATACATTAGGAGTGCTAACTCAAGTAAAAAGAAAAAACCTGCAACAAGCACACTAAGTATTTAAAATTATAAAAGGCAATTAAGACAGAGGTGAATAAAAGGAGACATTGTCACAAGTTCAAAGTACAGCCAAAGATTATCAGCTTAAAACAGAGGTGAATAAGATACACTGAATATGTTTCTTGGGAAAGTTTGGTATATAAGAAACAGATTGGTCAGCAATTTCCTAGATTTATTCCTTAGAGAGGGTTGGTATTGTTGTACTTTTTCCTTCTTGGTGCTTCTAGTAAATTTCCCTTAGTATATATGCATATATGCATACATACATACATACATACTGAACCGTTGTATTCTGTAAAATGAAAGAAAAAAAAGGATGAGGCGGTCAATAACCTCTGCATCACTTCTCATTTGGTGTTGGATGGTCAAAGTTTCTTCATTTTTCTGATTCAGGGAGCCACAGTTGAATCCAGTGAATGGTAGTGAAGGATTTGCAGCATGACCAGCAATTTCAGGAGTATCTCATGCAAACATATAAGTGCAGTTCCATTCATGGTCTATTTTATGATTGAAAACAAACAAATGGTAAGATCTTCAATAGGAAGAGGCAGCTAATTAGGATCTGAAATGTTGTCAGGATTTTGTTCGTTAAAAATATTAATATTGTGGACAATTCATTTATAATTTTTTTCACAGAAATCTCTGTTTTCCTTTAAAATAAGTAAAGGGGAACCAACTACACACAAGAAGTTAAACAGCCAGTTATATAGATTAGACGTACAACAATGTATAAATACAAAAGCCTCAGAGAAAGAAAGAATACCATTAACAGTGCGGACGCATTTCCATTCATGTGCTTCAATTGCATCCCCCACATTGCCTTCAAAAAATCCATCTGACAAGAAATTACCAAGTCTCGATGATTGACGCAGAAGCATTTCTGGGCCTATAATACCAAAAGTTAAAAGAAACAGAAGAAACTAGATGCCATTATTCTAAACTCAAAAAGTTACACAAGATGAGGTAAATATGCCTCACAGCTTCACAGCTAAGATGAAAGAATTATTTATGCTCTATTTTTTTATTGGGAACTTATCATCAATTTTATCAATGTTTGGAAAAAATTAAAATATATGCATTACAAAAGGTACAAGCAGTCAAGCACTACCTAGCCCATCACCATATTCATTACTATCATAATCTGCCCATTTAGACTCCTGAAGTAACACCATGTTCGGATTCAACTTCTTAATAACCTCTCTTATTTTCTCTCTTTTCCTCACACTCCCTATACCCCTGATATTCCAGATTATTAATTCATTTCAATCTTACCTCCTAGACCCTCCTACTTAAGACAATCTACTTATTCCCCTCTCTTTGTTCCCCTCTCCTTCCAAAAGTTTTATCCCCCTCCACGTCTCTCTTTAATCTCTCTACTTCACTTAATTTCCTCCTGCTTCCGTAAGAACACTTTCAGGATATTTGAATCCTTCAGTTTGCACCGGAGTTTTCCTACAAATTCTGCCACCAAGTCCCCCAAATTCATTGCCTTTTCACCCTCAAACTCTCTCTCAGTAAATTCATCAGCTTTTTACTTATTTTATTTATTTCTTCCTCCTTTAATTCCTTCCTTTCAAATTCTTTTATTCCTCTCCAAGTCCTCCTCTGAATCCTTTCCTTGTATTCCTTCCCACTCCTTAAAGTCTCTCCACTATCTTTATCATGGGCTTCCAGCTCTGGGGTTGAGAGGGAATTTGGAACTACAAACACAGAGCAGTCATCAGTAACTAAAACCGAATGGACAAGGTTATAAGGATTTTTTCTTTCAGGAGTAATTGGGACAGAAGAGCTGCATTCGGGTGGTCTTTCTAATCTGGAGGATTGATGGTCACGTATCCCCTTGGTTTGAGTCCTGCTTGAGAGCATTCCATCCTCTTTTCAACACACCAATCCCTTCCCATGACCTGCTCTTTATCCCTCTTGGGCAAGTTCCAATTTTGCCTAAGGTGGTTCTTACTTACCTGAATTTTGATTTGGTACAGGTCCTTCTTTACCTGAATTTTGATTGTTCTCCCTAGCCGCTTTACTGTACAGCATCACAGTTGCAGGCTCTACCTTGTTGGTCAGCACCAACATATTTTCTTCCCTCCTGTCCTCAGCATCTCCTTGAAACAGCAGTTGTAGAATTGTGTTTCCCCCCAGTCATTCCTCCTTCTTAACTCCTCTTGCCAGAGAGTGGGCTAAGGAATTTGCAAATCTTTGAATCCATCTGAAAAAGGCGTTCATGCTGGATGCCAAAGATCTAGACTCTCTTATGAAAAAAGATGTTTATTTCTTATTTTCTTCTATTTAGGTGGCTTGAGTCAATTGGCACTGGTGGCTGCACTTTGTGTACATATGGTATGTTTCATTAAGTATTAATATAACTTTGATACCAATTAAACAAAAAGTTCATGTCAGATACATAAGCATGCAGAGGCAAGATACAGAAGGAAGACATATGTGCAACAAGCATCCATTAGGTACATGGACAATTCCACATCATGCACAATTGCATGTAGACAATGTGTAAACCCTTTCAGAAACTCATTGTCCATATACAGGAATAAACAAAGTAATAGAGAATATCTCTTAAGGCAAAAAAAATGTTGTAACACTAGAACATTTATATATATGGAAAACATGTAAATGTCTCACTCTAAATGAGTGTCTACACCTAGACCATAGCAAATGATAAATAAGACCAAAAATCTCAATATGAATATTTTGTCACCAAAGAATCATATGTAAAACTAAAAGCAACCATGTCCAAGGCTCACTCTAGAGCCTTTTTTTTAATAAGAAAAACTTTCATTAAAACAAAAAGAGGTTACAATCTGATGGGTAACAAGCCATCACCCAAATACAAAACAAACTAAGATAATTATGATGTTCACCTTTTCCAATTCTTATAAGCTTTTTCAAGCTATGTGCATATCGTCTCATCCAAGGTCGATGTCCTTCAAGATTAAGCCTTCCACAAAAAAGAAAAGGAAAACAAAAATTAAAAACTGGTTGAGAATAGTACATATGAAAAAGGACAATGAACTAATAACACAATGAGGTACCCAACATGTGTACAACGAAATACACAATCTCTCATGATTTTTTCAGTTTTCCTCACTACCTCTTGGGGCATCCTAAAAACTAACATGTACACTGGAAGGTTGGCAAGGGTGGACTTCAAGGGCCACTCTCCCCTCTCACAACCTAAAGATTTTTGCATAGCCCTTACAGTGATTTAAAAGGTGTGTCTAGGTGCATAGACGAGGCACATTTTAGGGGAGGAAGCTAGGCGCCTCACCTAAGTCCTAGGTGCAACACTTTCAAAAGGCGCACACCTTCTGCGCCTAGGCGTTCGCCTGATGCGCCTTGTGACTTAGCCTAGGCATGTGCCTTTTGAAAATTTTACGCTATTTTGCATTTTTTAAACCTAGCGGATGGGCCAGGGGTGGATCCCCAACCATACCCCTCAAGGCAAGCCCCTATTTGCCAATGTTGTTCATTCATTCATTTTAATAAAATATCTTCTTAAAAGGCAATTAATAATATATTTTTTATTATAATATTATGTTTAATATTTTTTATTTTTTAGCATTTTTTTGTATTTTTGCACCTTGCTTTAAAAAGAAGCGTGCATCGCCTTGCGCCTCAGGCACAAATTGGCCCTTGAGCCTTGCGTTTTAAAACACTGAGTCCTCAAGTCATCTCCTTTTACTTGGCACTTTAGCTACCAAAGTAAAGAGAAAGGGAGAGAGTAGATCTCTTTGTCTAAGGCCACGAAACCCTTCAAAGAAATCAAACACTAAACCATTAACAATAACTAAGGAGTAACTAGTTTGTAAGCAACCTCTGACCCATTTGCACCACAAGTCCCCAAAGCCACACCTTCTCATGATATCAATTAAAAACTCCCATTCCACTAAATCATAGGCTTTCCCCAAATCTAGCTTGATTGCAACCCCCTTCTTTCTTAACCTCTTTTGGGCCTCCATGCATCCATTAGCAATTAGAATTTGATCAACTAATTGCCCATCTTGAATAAAAGCCCCTTGAAATTGTGAAATAAGTAAGGGAATCACCTTCTTAATTCTCAAAGACAATTGCAGATATTGGTGACTAGGCTAATAGGTCTAAAATCCCCTAGATGGTTAGCATCACTCTTCTTTGGGACCAAAGTGAGTTCATACCTGAACTAATGATTCCTCTTCTATGAAACTCTCTAAAGATTAACCAAATCAGCTTTGATTACGTCCTAGGAATCTTGGTAAAAGACTATTATAAAACCATCAAGCCTTGGAGCTTTTGACCTATCTATTGAAAAAATTGCCTCCTTAATTTCATCCTCAAATCTTCATTCTAGAAACTCCACTTGATTATCCCCCAAGACCTTATATGCATTTTTTTATATTAAATTTATATTTTTAAATCAATTTTAACTTTTATTTGTAAAAAAATTCTAAAAGTTGCAATTTGAGACTGAATAGGGTTTGGGGAAAATAACAGGGAAAATTACCCAAAATAAAAAAAAAAGATCACCCCAATCAGACATATGAGTGCAAAGTTATGACCTTTAGAAGTTTGTATACACATTTAGTGTGCAACCTGTGACCTAATGACCGGGTTGAATAGGTCAACGGTTCAACTACCCAGGTCAAACGGTTTTTGAGGAATTTCCGAGTTTTATAAGAACTGGACCCGGAATCATGGACGAGTGACGGTTCAACTAGCCAGGTCAACGATAGGTTGAAAATACTAAGTTTCATCATTTAATACTATGTCATCAATAAACATCAAGCACCACAAGACCTCCTCTTATGTTTAGTCAATTCATCCATGACTTTTTATTGATAAATAATAACTGTTTTAGAATTGTAGATTCATACAACATCCCATGGAGAGGCGTGAGCTTCAGCCTCTCCCAATAGCTCACAAGTAAGCTAGTAATAAATTACATATATCACAGCTGAGCCCAAAACAATTCTTCCCTATTTGCCCCTTGTTTGGCTAATGCATCAGCCATAGCATTTGCTGATCTCCCCACCCATTGTATAGAAATCAGCATATTCCTCCTTGTCAGCCAATTAAATTTCCTAATTTCATTCTTGTAACACCATATAGTATCCTCAGGAGTTTTTCAGCCAGCCCACCACCACCTTGGAATTTTCGAGGAATTAAAGAATAAGTGTGTTAGGTAACTGCCTAACTCAGGGAATTTTCGAGGAAGCTTGCCTCCTAACGAGAGAGAGAGAAGAGAGAGAGAGAGAGAATTCTCAAAATCAATACCTCCACTTCTGGCTTCCTTTCCTTATTTATTACAATTCTGTTATATCAGCCTCTCCACTTGTCCAGTTTGTTATTTAGTTTGTTCTAGTGGTTGGCTGTCAGTTACATTACTTAAAGGCTGACGTGGCCTTTTCTTGTACACTTGTCCCTCTATTCCCTTTATTTGTGTCTTAACAAAGTGCTAGCCCTTGGAGAAAACCCATTGTAACTGCAAAATTGAATGCCTCTTCCACAGGTGTTCAAATGTCGGTTTTTGCATCCTCATACATATCCTTAATTAGCTTCACATACTTACCTAGGACTCCTTTCTTTTCTATAACCCACTAGATTACTTCTACAAGGACCCTATCACATGTTTTCTCTAAATCAATGAAAACCATAAGATCTCTTTTCTTCTCTCTAAACTTTTCTATCTATAATACAAAAATAGCTTTCATGGTTGATCTGCTTGGCATAATCCCAAATTGGTTTTCCAATATACTTGTCACATGCCATAACCTTTACTGAATAAAGGTTTAAAATTTTAGAATACTATTAGAACCTTTTCCAATATTTCATTAAAATCATCATAGTTTTGTACAAATATTTTCATAAAAGAACAAATGAGGATTGGGTGATTGGATGATTGACTTGCTATTAAGACAAAAGTCAAAATGGCAAGTACATGACACACACAATGAAGAAAAAGATAGGTAAAAGATTAAAAAGGAAGACAGAGAAAGATGCATGTTTAAGTATTCCAATCTTCTCTTTTTGATTAATAATTTATATAGTTGTTTGCTATGTTGTTTCGGGCCTAATTTTCTTTTTTTTTTTGGTGAATAATTTGAGTTTTATTAAAAGACATAGTAGAAATCTGCTGAATTAAAAAATATGAAAGAAAGTAGTTTCTTGAAGAGAGAAGGAGAAGAAGAGAAGAAGAGAAATTGAAAGAAAAGAGAGCAATAATCTGGCTGCCCCCCCTTCACTTATTATTTATACTAAAATAATAGAACAATACAAAGACAACTATGCCCTTATAGGGCGCAAAACATAAAACAATATATATAACACTCAAAAAACATAATAAAATTTGGACTCACATAACTACTGTGGTCCCCACCTCCTATCTAACAACTAACATAAAACATCTACTCAGAAAAACATCATAAAACTAATTAATCTTCAACACTCCCCCGCAAGTTGGGAGTAAATGTCGCACATTCCCAAC